GTGTCACTGGAGCACTACTGTAACTGGAAAAGTACTGTAATTAGTAAACGTATGATGTAATTCTTGAAACAAACATTCATTTTATGTTTTTTCATGTATTTATTGGGGTGTTGACAATAAGTACATCTAGTAATGTGGCTAAATTCTCAGACAGTAGGGTATTTGAACTTGTAGTATCTACAAAGTGGTGGCTCGCTTCTTATTTTTTGGCAGTTTAAATACACAAATTGCAGACAATGCAAAACATTATGAACACTGTTTAGAGACATGTATCTGATTTGTTATGAAATAAGGCCTAGACACACATATTTCTCCTAATGGCACAGAGGCAGTGGTTTTAAGGCTCATCTCAACACATCTCTTCTCTCATAAATCAATGTTTGCGGACATGGAATCAGAAAAGTAAAATACATCTTGCCCCTGGTCATTCAAGGACAGTATAAATCTGCACTGGGATATGTCCGACAGACAACTGGGTTGGGTTTGAAAACCTTTGTGCGATGAGAAAGTGAACTGCTTTAGAGAAATTCAGCAAATCAAGTCCAAGAAGAGTTTCTGCTGAAGTCATCATAATACTGAATAATACTATTAGACTTTGAGTTGAGTCGAGCAGTGTGTGTATTTTTCTAAAAGTTTATTGCCCCTGCTCCCACACCAGCCCGTCTTGATGCAAAGACATGAAATAGGATGAATATGTTAGTGTCATCTCCAATTTCAAATAGGTAGACTTTTCAAAAGATGATTCTCACTGGAGGAAATGTTGTACCTTCAGAATGAAAATATCATTTGAAGAGCGAGACAGTAAAAGCCTCAACACGTCTCAAAATGGAAATTTTCTCATGGTGGCTTTCCTTTTCACCTCAGCGGTTATGGGAAAGAGGGGGAGAAAAGGAGAGAGGTGCGCATGAACTGTGTGGAGACTACGAGAAGAGAGAGGGGTAACACACTGATGAGTATGGGAGTGACAGCCCCTGAAAGCATGTTAATGAAGTGCCATGCACAGACAGGTAACCAGTAATCATACCTACTGATTGTAACACTGAAGCAAACACTCTTGCCTCTCCATCAGCCCCGAAACCACTCTGTCATGTTACAGTGCAGCCCCCTCTGCTAACAGTGTGTCATAGCTTTTACAGAGACAAAAGAAACAAATGAGATGGCTGAGTTAGAACAAACAGCTTTGGGTTGTTGTTTCCCACAGAAAATGAAAGGCGACATTATTTGCAACCACTGTGTCATTCTGCAAATTTATTGTTCAGTCTCTGCTTCACTGCAAGATTATTATTATTTTTTTTCCAGATTTTTTTTTTCTTTTTAACGTTTAAGTTATATTTCCTTGGGAGGTTACCTTAATTTGAGCTAAGGAGAATGCCACAGTATTACCACGTTTCACTACTGGTAATAAAATCTTAACTGAGTGTTGTGTCATACAGACGGCTGAGTCACAAAGAAGCACAAATAACCTTGCATGAGGTGGATTCTGACTTTAAGGTAGAGCGAGGGTAGTAGGTGTGTGTTCAGAGAGCCTCCTCTGAATATTTCCCCAGTGAAGGAGAGCAGGCCAGAGGCAGTGATTTCAGCAGATAGAGTCCAGGGCTCACTGACGACAGCTGCTTTGACTTTGATGCACCATCAGTGTTCAGCACACTGCGTACGCATTTCTCCCTCCCCACCTCTCACACCAACTCTCAGGTGTGTTTGCTTAACCCAAACGCACACTATAGCCTCACATATAGCCGCCTCATGCAAACTTTGTCTCTTTGCAGCTGTTTAATGGCTGCACGTCTGTTTTTGTTTGTTTCCTCACCATAAGATTATTGCACCTTTATGGTTGATCGGGGGGTTGGAATAATCCCTGGCATCTGTTCCAACAGGGAGGGGTTGAGCGAAGCCAGAGGTAAAGCTGCACTTTTTGGGGTAGAAATATTTCTAAATACGAGACCATGTGGTCCCCTATTTCATCCCTTTCCACTGAGGTAACGACTCTGGCTCAATTTTAAAGACAAGAGTGATGGAAGGGCTGTGTGCAAAGAGCCACAGAGGTCACCGAAGGAACTTCTTATTACCCTTTAGTACAAAAATTAACACAAAATAGCAAGGATGGTTGAAATCTGTCATTTCTGTGTAATTTTGTAACAAAGACGGAAGAAAGTAAGGTTTTTATTATTCATTCAACTTTTATTTATACAGGTTAATCCCATTGAGCCTCGGGGACTCATTTACAAGAGACTTGGTTTTTAAACAGAGTGATGACAACAGTGGACAACAAAAGACAATCGTAAAGGATGCATACAAATTGAGAATAACAAGTAAAAATAGCACGGTGGCGCAACTGGTAGAGCTGCTGCCTCTCAGCGAGCAGGTCCTTGGTTCAAACCCCGGTCCAGGGG